AGTCACAGGTGCTGGCGAAACGTTAGGAAACAAAACTTCAAGACCACGGTCACACAGCCCGGAAGACCCACACCAGCCATCGAACACTGTCTCATTTGACTTCTGAGAAACAGTGATGCTCTTTCACCCTCCCGAAGGGAGCGCCCATCGCCGATCACCTTTCGGTTCCTGACCACGCTGGTGCATTTGTCTATGCAAAGCAGATGTTCGTTTGGCCCTTCCCATCATTTTCCTACAGTCCAACTCAAGCCCTGACTAGCATCCGAGAAAGCTGTTGTAAGCTGCTTTCTGGCATTGTCACATTTCTGGGTTGACATGGTCTCCCACCCCTGGGCACCTTGCTCACCATTGCTTCATGGGAGGGCAGGAGTGTTGCACGTTGCTTGTGACAGAGGACAATGAAATGGATGTGCTGCAAAGGGAGGCGGAGGGGGTGAAATTTCTCCTTTCCCTCCTGCTGATTTGGGGTCTAGGAGAAAAACCAAGGGGGATCCCAGACATGGGAGTTTGGAGGTGAATTGGGCCCATGAGATGGTGGTGCTTTTGTTGATAATTGACGTGGTTCTTGGTTGCCATTATGACTATTTACTATTGTTTAACTATATCGGTGGCTTTAATCCTATGTAAGCCAATAAGAGTTGCTGTTGTGAAGTGGGGGGCCATATCAATTGATTAGATTGGTGTTTCTCAACCTTGGCAACTTTAAGAGGTTGGCTGGGGAATTCTGGGAGTTGAAGTCCACACCTCTTAAAGTTGCCAAGGCTGAGAAATACTGGATAAGATCAATAAATAAGAAATAAATCTGCTCCGGCCAGCCAGCTAGCTATGCCCTCTTTACCAACGAAGAAGCTTTGGCCCCATGTGGTTGCCAAACGGGGCGGCAGCATTCTCCTTCTCCTCCCCTTCATGTTCATTGACTCTGTTTTGATGCTGATCGGTCGACCCTCGCTAGCCTCACTTGCTCTTGGCAGAAGAATGCAAGTTCTTGCATAGATGTTCAGTTCACAAAAAGTCTCTCCCTTTCCCAACTCTGCTTTGTACAGCAATGCTTCCCTGACTGTGTGTGCGAAGATGCCTACAACAACACATACGCTTGCGTGCGCACTATGAGTGCTGTGAACATGCAGTACTGTGAGTTTGCTGATAAAGAGGTAAGCAGACATGGTTTGTCTTGCCCTCTCTAGAAATTCAAGCTGGCTGAAGAAGTTCTGGGCTAGGTCCCAAAGAGCTGGGAATTAGGCCACCAAGAATGATCATGTAGCGCTCAGAGCTTCCTGCACCAAGAGAATTCCTTTCCATGTTGATTGTGTTTGCTAGCAAACACAGCCTGGCAAGTGCTCTGGGGCATATTTTAGGGCAGGCTTCTCCAAATTTCTGAAAGTTACAGTCCCAGCAGATCTGGAAGAGGCCAGGATGGGAAAGTGGACATGGGCTGAGAGTGGTGGCAACTCTCCAGAATTTCTGAAAATATTTGCTTCCCAGCCAAGGCCTCCAATGTGTAAGAGCTCTCATCTTTTGGCCCAGAAGGCAGGGTATAGAATCATGGCCTTAAATTACAGGAAGGAGATTCCATTTTAATTTGGATTTCCATATTGATTAGGGGGTGGAACTTGATAGCTAAACGGGCCCTTCTACCTTTAGGGTTTTATTTTTGAGTACAACATGGTGACTTCTAAATATATTGGGGCTGGTGATCACTCCCCTTCCACAAGCCTCCATCCTGGAGGCAATTTGGGGGCATTTATTGGTTAGGAGTTGGAATGATAAAACCTTTAGAGTTGGAAGGGACCTCAAGGTCATCTAGTCCAACCACATCCTTAGGGTGAGATCCACCAGAGGATCTCTGACATGATCATCAAGCCTCTGTTTGAAGACCTCTGGCAAAGGAGAATTCAGTTTAATTCCCAACTCCCTTGTCCCCCCCCCCGCCCTTTATTTATATTTTAATGTTTTATTTGCAGTATTTGTAGGCTGTCCCAATTATATGGTTGTGGGCTGTACTTAAAAGCTACTTTAAAAGCCAAGATGCCTCCAGCATAGTTTTTCCCTCTAGCATTTTCTAGCAATAAGAATGAGAGGCTGCCACCGAGGGCTTTCTTTGGCATGTTACTACTTGTCTAGAAAAAAGAGAGAGTTAAGCTAAGTGTTGGTGGTGAGGACCATCCTGGAGAGCAGAAAGGTGTGTGGTGGGCTGCAATGTTCCCAGTTTATCTTCTGGAAAATGGGTGGGTTTGGCTAGATACAACAAGGAAGCTATTTTTATGGATGGGCAAACCTTCCCCTTAGCACAAAGCACCGAAAAATATGCTCTCAAAATTCCTATTCTATTTACAAGTCCACAAATTAGTATATCATTTTTGTATCCTGCTTGCCCATTAGCCAGAAAGGTTCCCCAAAGGATTTATAGATCAATAAAAAGAGACCAACCTTGCCCTCAAGCTAACAGTGCCCAAAGACCCAACTAGGAAGGTGAATAGGAGTGAGGGGCTGTAATTTTAGCTTGAAAGAAATGAGTCTTGTTTTTATGGTGACTTCAAGAAGTTCTAAGAGATGATTCTCCCAAGTTGTTTCTCCCAAGCTGATGGAGTCTTTTTCCAGGTATGAAGGGTGACCTTGTGAGGGGAAGACAATTTTGATGGTGTTGGCTTCTCAGAAAGCTGTGAGTGGCCTGGGTTTTAGTTCCTCCCCTCTGAGGCAGGATTTTGTCTTCTGTTCTTCAGGAGAGCCTGACTCCTGACCTTCGTTGCACATCCTCTTTTCTCTTGCAGAATTTTGTGGAAGTCTACAATCTGACTGCAGATCCACACCAGCTCTTTAATGTGGCCAAGAGTGTGGACCCTTCAGTGCTGGAGCAGATGAACCAAAGGCTGATAAAACTGCAAGCTTGTTCAGGCATCAGCTGCCGTTCCTGAGGATTTGAGCACTTTGACCATGACAAAGAGTCCAAGATGCCTCTCCCTTTCCTCCCGATTTAGTGGCCTGGCTTCTTCCTGTCTTTAAACTGAAGCCAATCTGGTGTTGCCTTTTAGTTCAGGATTGCTCGATCTTAAGCCCCAAGTTTGGAATTTCCTGTGCTGGAATAGGATTGGGGTAGAGCAGAAGGGAAAATATGGGTGAAGATCAGAGGCTATAACCCTTCCAAAAGACGGCCTATGAAATTCTAGTGCCTTGTCTCTCTTTTCATTGCTTATCCTGTCTCTTTGGCCAGGAAGTTGGCAATGCAGTCTCATTTCACAGTGAAGAACATAACTGACCCAATCAGTGCTGACCCTGTCCTCAATTTGGAGCTTTCCAAATGTTCTTGGACTACAACTTCCTGTAGCAACTGCTATCTTTGAGGCTACATACCCCATCTTGCTCTGCCCACCAGGTTAGGTGGGAGGTGGGGAAGATTCTCTCTGTTTAGTCATTGATTAACATGGGCTGGTTTCCCTCCATGTTCATCTCCTTCCTTTCTTGCACTGGCTGAGATCTGGAGGTTCTACAGATACCTGCAGTGATCATTGTGATTTTTTTTTTTTTAAATCCTGCCTATTTAGACACTTTGATTGGGTCCTCTCATGTAGTCCATGGGAGTTATGGGCAATTGCTTTCTACCTTCATACTGTGAAAAGAAATGGAATAAAGGGTTTGTTTATTAGAAAAGCTGGTCTTGCATTTTTGTGTCATCCATGCCATGGAGAACCAGACTCCCTGCATTACAACCACACGAAGTTGGGCTTGTACATCTCATTGAACAATAATTTGGTTACCTTGATTTAATTTGTTAAGTGAACTATCGCTTAGCACAATGTATGAATGCAGCCAAAAACTCCTTTGGTTTAGAAGTGCTGTTTTTTTATTGATTATGTGCCATCAAGTCATTGTTGACTCTTACCAACCACATAGATAGATTTTCTCCATGATGATCTGTCCCCAACCTGGTCCTTCAGGTCCTCCAATGGTGCACCCATCACCACTGTAACTGAGTCCATCCCCCTTGCTGGTGGTAGTCCTCTTCTTTTCTTTCCTTCCACCTTTCCCAGCATCACAGCCTCCTCCAGAGAGCTGGGTCTTTGCATCATGTGTCCAAAGTAGGACAATTTGAGCCTGGTCATTTTCTGGGAAAAGGGGTTCTGCAATATTTATTTTAAGCCAGAGCTAATTCTTGCTTCACTGGAGAGAGATCAGTTCCTTTGTATCCTGATTTGTCTGACACCAGTCGACACCCATATCAGAGGTCCATTTGCATGGTGTACAACTAGCAAACCTGTTACTAGGGAAGCACATGAAGGGGTAGGTTTAAGAGGCCTGAAAGGATAAAAATGGAAAATGGGGGTAACCAACTCTGAGTACAGAATTCAGGCCAACTGAAACCATCTCCAAGGGTTAAGGGCAACAGAACTTGATTTATTTGTCCAATGGCTTCCTTTCTAAGTTAGATTTCATGCACATTTCCTACATCTGGTTGCTTCAGAAATGCAAATATTATCACCTTACTAGATCACAGTTTCTTGACCCGTGCTCCATCACTTGGTCCAAAGGTCCAAGAAAAACTGCCTTCTTTTTGTAGGATTTGAATCCATTTCATTTCAGTAGCCAAACAAGTCCCTAAATGAAAAGGAGATGTTGGCCCGTTGTCCTCACACATCACATTCAGACAGTTGGCATACTGGTTCCTGGGTGGAGATTAGGATGGAAATTCAATCTAATTTAACTTATTCAATTTAGGTGCCACCCAACTCCAAACCGACTCCAG